GAGTGAGAGAGGAGAGAGAGAGAATTTTTAATATTTATTTATTTATTTTAGTTCTCGGCGGACACAACATCTTTGTTAGTATGTGGTGCTGAGGATCGAACCCAGGCCACACACATGCCAGGCGAGCGCGCTACCGCTTGAGCCACATCCCCAGCCCCTTTTTTATATCTTATTTAGAGACAGGGTCTCGCCTAGTTACTTGGGGCCCTGCTGAGTTGCTGAGGCTAGCTTTGAACTTGGCATCCTCTTGCTGCAGCCTCCTGGGCTGCTGGTGTCACAGGCGTGGCCACTGTGCCCAGATTCAAGAATATTTGAACTAAGAGTGCCTTCAGGGAGACTCAGTGGACACAGCTTGCAGGAGCAGATGTGAGTAACCCATGAAAACTCCCGGGAGAGGATGCAAAGGTGACTGGGGAGAGAACACCTGCTGTGCCTCTGGGGACGCTGTGGGCCAGGGGGGACTTGGTGGTGCTGAGGACTGCAGAGCATCCAACATCTGGGCTCTGTGTCTATGAGGGGTGCGGAGAGATGGCCACCCTTCCTGGAAGACAAGGAGTCACCTAAACCCCAGAAGTGGCAGTGGGAGCAGGAAATGGGACCACGCCTGGGCAGCTGCACCTGGCTGAGATGATGGCCAGGGACTTGGGGTGGCCATGCCTGGATGACTACCCTGGGCTGAGGCCCAAGTCAGTTCTACAATCCGAGAGGCAGAGTGGCTGCCCCCCCAATAATTCTCTCCTCCCTGAAAAAAAGCACACTGGGGAGAAGTCCCACCAGGTGGCAGCACCCCTCAGGGTGGTGAGGAGGGGAGCCTACCTAGGGAGATGAGGAGTGGGGAGGAACCCCACCTAGGGGGATAGGGGAGCCCACCTGTGGGGGACTAGGGGAGAGGAAGCCTACCTAGGGGGACTGGGGCGGGGAGGGGAGGAAGGAGGAGGAAGCCCACCAGGAGAGACTGAGGGGGAGGAGGAAGCCCACTTGGGGGGACAGAGATATGGGGGAGAATGCCCACCTCTGGGAAGCTGAAACAGGCAGCCACTATGCCCACTACCCACTATGCACCTCGCCCTCCACCTGGGCCGCCCTGAGCAGAATGTGGGCAGGCAGCAGAGCTAGCACTAGAGGTCCCCAAAGAGACAGAACCTTTCAGGACAGGAGCTGCCTGTGGTCTGCTAGCAGCAGTGGACTTGCCTTGGGTCTCCTCTGGAGGTGGGTGGTGAGCACCCTCACCAGGAGGGGCCTGCCCAGCTATGCAGGACACTGGCTCCCAGCAAGCAAGTGCCCACACTAGCCCCCGGGATCACAGCCTCAGGGCCTGGGTGCAGCTCAGGTGGGGCCTGGCCTCTGGGAGCTGCAGTTCTCAGGAGGGAGGGCCCCTTCCCAGTCCTGCCCCTTCCCAGCTGGGTCCATAGCCCGTCAGTGAAATGGGGCAGCTCAGGCCCAGGAGTCACAGGACAGGCGTGCTGCAGGGATCTCTCCCACCACCCACTGCTGCACACAGGTGATACCAGGTGGCACAGGCCTCAGCAAATGGCCATTTCTGTCGGGAACTCTTGCTCTCTCTCCTGCCCACGTGGCCCTGTGCTGGAGGCTCCCCTTTCCCACGCTGCCCTGTCCATCCCAGCCCCTCACCTGAGACCTGCCTGCTGCTGACTTCCAGGCTGGTGGCCAGACCTCACCTGGTGTGGCCAGAGGCAGGCAGAGGGCTGCAGAGCTGAGGGCCCAGCCAGGCCTTGGCCTCGCCCAACAGCTTCCAGTCCAGATCTGTTTCCCAGTTCCAACCAGGACAGGCCTCATGCTCAGTTCTTAGGGAGGTGATCCTGCCCTTCAGCTCCATAGGGCTGTGGCCACATCAGGCTCTTGGCTGCCTGACCCTCACATTGGCTCCCCAAGGCCAGGCCTTACCCTGGACCTCACCCATTGTGGACTGTGCCTTCAATATCCTATTCCTGACAGTGAGGTCCTGCCCACTGTTGTGTGGATGCAGCCCTCTCCCGACCACTGGGGACCTGGTCTGGGGCCGAGGTTCCTGCTCCCCCCAGGGCTCCATGCAGGTGTTTCCTTTGGCTCTTAACTCTGGTATTTGGCTCCTGGGCTCCCAGGGGGCCTTGGTCAATGGGTGGCCCTTGGAGTGGGGTCCGAGGTTCTGCGGGTTACAGCAGGACCCTGGGGCAGCTGTGACGAGTACCACAGTCCATCACTGCAGAAAATGGGTGGGGGGCTGTCTCTGAAGACCGGGTGGTCAGCAGTGAGACCAGTAGGGCAGGTGAGGCCCAGTGGTTCTGTGCACAGGGCCTGAGGAACTCGAGTGGTTGCTGGCCTAGACACCATTCGGGGGTGTCTACTGCCACCATCCCGTGGCTTGCTGTGCTCATGAGCTGTCATTTCCCTGGCAAGTCCCCCCAGGAAGATGTCAGGGAGGGCTG